ATCCTTATCAAGATGTGTGCTCATGTGGGTGCACACATGCACATGTGTGTGTGTAGGGGGAGATTGGGGATGCTGTTTAAATTCTCCAGTACATTTGAACTAATATTTTAATCATATAATATGAGATTTTTGAGAAATCAAATTTTGTGAGTACAGCTCTAAATGGAAATACCTTCCATTCTTAAAAAGCAGTCTTAGAAGCAAATGATTATGTACGGAACAACTATGTTAATGTTCTGTCTGTAACAAAATACCTAAGATTAAAAAAAATTTAAGGGAGGAAAAGATTTAATTTGGCTCATCATTTCAGAGGGGTTGAGCCATCACCTGGCCTTATTGCTTTATACCTGTAGCAAAGCTGAACACAATGGCAGGGAGCACATGGCAGAGCAAAACTGCTCACCTCGTGCTAGCCAAAAAATAGAGAGAGAGAGGAAGGAACTGGGACAATAAATTCCCCTTCAAGGACTCATGCCAATGACCTAACTTCCTCCACTAGGCCCTACTTCCTAATCCCCCACTACTTCTCAGTAATGCTGTGGCTAGCAGCTAAACTTTTAGCATATGAACTTTTGGGGGACATTTAAAATCTAAATCATAAGAGCAATGATTTTAAATTATAGCTTAAAGAAAATATGTGATCTATTTTTACATTTGAAAATAAGTTTTGGGGAAAAGCATCATAGACTGCAGGAAGCACAGCTGCCGAAGCACCTTGAGAGGGTCATCATGTGCTTGTCAAAACTCCACAATGAAATCAGGTGGTGAAAAAATAACTTGTAGTTTACAAAAGAGGAAAATGTCATCACCAAAAACAAATCCAGCTAGTATTTATTGGCACTCTCAGTTTATCTTACAGAGAGCAAACACTCTGAATTTTCACTCTAGTTGGAGTATGCTCCAGTGGCATAGGTCGCAGTTTTATGTGTGCTTATGAGTAGGATAGCAAAGCCAGCAAAGCCTTCTTCCCTGTAGAAAACTGAAGTCATTATCGCTTTGTGTCTTTTCTCCTGACTGTTCCTCCACCACGATGTTTTCTTCATGGTGACAATATACGCAGGTGTATGCCCCTCAAGGTGTTGTCTGATTTAGACTTGATCACCATAGGATAAACTTGGGAAGAGATAGCCACCACATGACAATGTCTCATGTGTTTAAAAGTCTATTTTAATGCAAGGCATAGGAAAAGCATTAGTCAGCAGGTAAGAAATTGCATACTATGTTTTGTGTTAGCAATATCATTTTTAGATCTTTCATTTCTAACAACTGCAAATACTTATTTCTAACAGATGTCACCATGTGTTAGTTATAAAATATTTTCCATATTAAAACTCTTCCAAAATATATATTAGTTGTTCTTTTGAATTAACATTTGCAATATAAATATTATTGGTGTGGGTTTTCTTCTTGGTAGTACATGAGTCTGGAGCCTTGGTAGTACAGTCTAGAGCAGGAGAGGAGCAGTGCTGCAGGTTGCTAGCATTCCAGGTGCTTCCCTTCTGTTCTTTGTCAGCTCATACTGATATTCCTGCTGCTCTCATTCCATGCTCATCCCACACCTCAGCTCTCTCTATCTTCACTGCAATTACTTGTCTGCATGTATATGCCTTTCCAACTGCTTCCCCCATTGTTCTATCCCCAGCAGTTTCTTCCCCTTCTTTCCTACAGAGTCACTAAGGAAAGGAAGACAGGTTGACTGGATGAATATTGTGGTAGATAGCCATTGTTTTCTCTCTCCAGCATCCCTTTTTATTCTCTGGCCCTAGAATTCCTCTTTTCAGTGGAAACCTATGCTATGAGCTCAGAGAAAATTAGTCCTTTCTGATTCCTTCCTGCTAGGATACACATGCATAGACTCAAGGGTTTGAGGGGGGAGTCCTTGACAGTTGAAGCACTGTACTCCTCCAGCGATAATGATTATTTCAGGAAGAGGACAATTAGAATCTCTTCCTTGGATATATGCGTTCTGGAGAGGAGAGGATCCCTCTGTTCCTCAGTTATTATAAGCTATATGGAAGATGAGAGGCTGGAGTTGCCAGTGTCACATGGAGAGAGAGATGGCCTGCAGGCAAAAGAGATGACACTTGAATGAATAAAAAGAGAAAAAGTGGATTCCTTAAGCATCATTTGAGCCCTGAACCAATTCATCAGCTGAGACATTCTACTGCCTTATTTACACCGCAGATGAAGTCCCCATGCCTTGTGAAGCAGTGTTCATGTGCTATCTTTTTGGATGAGGGCTTAATTGGATCAGTGGATCACTCCTTTCCCCTTGAGAGAGTAATCAGGTTAGTGCTGTCCCTTTTCCAGTACAACCTTCATTTCTTTCTTTTCCTTTTTTTTTGTACCGGGAATCTAATTCAGGACCTTGCTCTTCAAGGCAGGTGGCAGCACCACTGAGCTAAATCCCTGGCCCTACAAGCCTTCATGCCTTCATTTCCAGGAGGGTCTAGTCAGTGTTGATAAGGCAATCCATTTGTTAGGAATGAATAATTTAGGTTTGGAGAAGGAAACAAAGCACTTGACTCAGTTTCTCTTTATGCAAGAAGAGCAAAGACTCACATTTCATCATGCTAGATACAAAGATCTTCCTAGCACAGGAAATTTTTTCACAGTAATGTGAAGGAGCTGACAGAAGTAAGTACTGTTCTAATGGCCTATTTGATTTCATGTGTCCATGATGCCTTAGGTGACTACAGGAAAGTGCCCACAGAGATTCCAAAGTCATGCAATTTAAGAAATCCTGAAAATAATTGCTCTTATGTTTTCTAAGTGAGGCTAATTGAAGGTAATTATATTAACTTAGCATTTATTGAGGATTTACTATAGTTATATGGGCCAAACGTGTATGTGGTAGATATTCTTTTTGTCAATATTTTACAAGGGAAGCTGTAAGACAGAAATCATTACATCTTGCACAAGGTCATGAAAATACCCACTGGAACTAAACTTGAAGCTAGGCAACCTAATTCCAAAGTCTGCACTGGGCTTTATCCTCCTAATCTCATCCATTGCATTGTACCAACATCAATGAATCCCAAGACCTCCCACCATTTTGCACTTAATAATCATATTGTCCATCATATTAACTATGTGGCCTTGGAAAATTTATTTATCATATCCCAGTATTATACAATTAATTCATAGACTTCTTCAGAGTATTAATTTAGAATATATAATACACCTAACATAGCACTAAATATGATTTTATAATTATTGGTATTAGCAAGAGCAACATTATACTTTTAAATTAATTAAAACTGAACAGATACTTTAGTAAATAATGTTCAGATTCAAACATGTCTTTAATCTGAATTTCTGATTCTGGTACCTTCTGACATAGAAGTATTTTTATTGATAAGTTCAAGGCTACAGAACATCTCTAATTTGGATGAGGTAGAGAGATGCCTGTGACTTCAAAGGTGGTTTGCTGGTCCTTCCTTCCCACACATGATATCTCTTCCCCTAAGTGATAGCTGAGGTTTCTATTGAAGTTACCTGTTACCTCAAACATCAAAGAGAGCATTTAAGTTATGAAATATATTCATTTAATGCCCCTCCAGTACCATAATCCTATAGGCAATAGGTTTATTAAATGTGATTTTAAAGCAAAGGACATAATGGAGATAAGGTCTCTTCCACATTATAAAAAACTATTTATCAGAGGTTCAGTTGACAAGGAGTTAGTCATCTGGTACCTCTCTCCACCTGAGCAAGAGGGCTTCCCTAAAAGGCCAGTCAGTTGTTTGCAGACCAATATTTTTAATTCTTTCCTCCATAGTTCCTTTAAAATTATTAAAGGAACTACAGTGAACCTTGTCCGTGTCTTACATATAGCTTTATAGCATAGCCCATAATGTTAAATGAGAAAAAATACATACCCTTAATTCCTTTGTCTTTTAACAATTCATTTTTGTCCCTATTCTGTTAAAGGTGCCAAAGAATAGTAATAAGAATTTTGTTTAGCTTTAAATGAGAACAGACTTGCTAATGTACTGTTCACCCTTAGCAAGTTGTGTCTCTTTTTATTGTCTAAATTTTTGTTTTGACTTAACAAAATTTCTTTTGTCAAGATACTGATTTTAAGTTTGCTCTTTGTTCATGTGAATAAGTTCCGTCAGTTTAGAAATAGTCCATGTAAGTGACGTAATTATATTTACACACTGAATGAATGTGCTTGTAAATTGAGTTTGATTTCTTTAAACCTTCAATGGCAGGTGTTACAGTTTATATCTAAAATGTTCCCCAAAGCCTTGTATGCCCCGAGATAGGGCTTTGGGAGTTACTGGATCATGGGTGTGTGATACCAGATCATGTGTGTGATAGGTGGATCAGTCTACTAATTGTATTAACATGGATATGGGCGTGACTGAAGGAAGACAGAAGACACACCTTGGGTATGAGTGGCACCAACCAATAGACTAATAGCCTGAATGGAATAAAAAGGGAAAAGGAGACTTACTGCCGCTGCCTCTTGCCTGCCTTGCCATGAGCTCTTTTTCTTCTGCCATGCTCCTCTGTCATACCTTCCTTCCTATAGCCAGCTGACTATGAATTTAAACCTGTGCAAAATGTGAGCTAAAATAAACCCATCTTCCTTTAATTTGCAGGTGCCATGTGTTTTGTCCCCGCTATGAAAAAGCAATTAAGATCATCAGACAGCTTGATTTTGAAGTTTGAGTGTGTTTTGTAGGGGAATAAATGGGTTTTCATTTGGACAGCAGAGTTTAACATTGATTATGAGAGCATTATTGTGAAAGCAGGAATTTTCTTAAGTGATTTCATGGGTCTGAAAATTTAAGATCATAGTTTAAGATATTACCTACTTTGTTTCATTCCATTAATTATCCATTAATTATTGCCCTATTTGGAAAGTTAAAGTAACTTATAGTTTTGAGAAACAGTTAACGTTGTTCTTGTTGAAATATAGTATTATTAAAGTCACTGAAGAATAAATTATTTACCAAGTAATTGGCTTTTGCAACTTTTATCAGGTAGAATTTTAGTTTTATTGCAAGGCACACAATCATATATACAATGTATAATTATCATCTTCTAAAAGTACAAGATTTAAATAATATACATGACAGTAAGGAATATGTACTATACTAGTATACTTTTCTTTCAGAGTAAATTACCTTATGCCAAGCAGGTTCAGGCTCTGGGATGGGATTTTCATGTTTATGCTGAATCACCCAAAGATTCTTGCTTAGAAAATAAATCCCACTGAATGGACATATAACCTTGCCACAAATTTTCTTTAAAAATATTCTGATCTAAAGGCATCTAACATATTCTTTTATTTCACTTTCTCATTTTATGTCTCCACGTGAGATGAAACACCTATAAATTTTGATATTAGTTAAAGAATGCTATTTCTCAGTAATATATCACAAGAAGAAATCATTTTCTTAAAATGTATGTGATGATTCCTTGATTTCTTTCCTAACAGTGTTTTCAAGTTTTGCTTCTTTTCCATAATGAGCCTGGAGTTTTGCCTTAAATTCTTTACATAAAGGATACTCTTAGATTCATAAGTAGCTTAATATATTAAGAGTATTTGCACTTTCCTCCTCCCAGTTGGAGCTATGGGTTTCATTCTCACCATTACCTCCTGCCTGGCCAGTTCATTTCTCTGAACTTTTACAAGGTCCTGTCTTCCCAAAGTTGTTAACAGACAAGAGAGATAGAATCTGTGCAGAGTCGATCTCAAGGTCAGAGGTGTGCAGTTCTGGTCTCCAAGAGACACAATAGGCGATGCCCTCCTTTTGAGATGGAAGAACATCAGGAGATGGGAAATATTTGTGAGGCAGTTGGACTTGGAATGATGAAGGAATGGCAATGGCATCACTGTTTCACAGCATTATACAGATGCTCATAAGCATTGGTACACTATCTATCATTTCCTTCTCTCTCTCTTCCTCCTTCCCTCTCCTTTCCCTTGCATGTACTTTTGACAAAGGAATACCTTTGTATAAATGGTGTTATTTCTACCCTAACTGCCTGACATTGTTATTCCTTTAAAGAAGTGCCCTAAAAATACACTCATTCACATTATCTCTCTTCCTTCAGTTTGGAGGGAGTCAATGTGAACAGTAATTCAGAAGCTTGGTACTCACCCCATGAGCCAAATAGCTACCCCTTTCTCTCCTTGGGTTGCAACTCTCTCTATGCAGGACAATCAGGCAAAAGTTCAGATCCCAATAATGGCACTTAATGTTGGAACAGCATATGGAATCCCAATTTAAAGGGAATGCTCTTCTACATATAATTTCATTCCATGATGCTATCTCTATTCCATTTGGTTTTTGTTGTTCCTTAAATAGGTATTTTCAATTTTCTATTCCAGAAGTGTTTGTCCCTGGAACTATTTTCTATGTATATATCCTTCTTATATGATAGCCAAGACTACAGGTAAATGTCAACCAATATTTAAGCCATTCCTATCTAAACTCACTTACCAGAATTTGAGCACAACTAGGAATTTCACTGAAATTTAAGAAATACTAAAAATCTCTACTATGTTTTCTAATACCATCTATTTTAGGTGCCATTAAAAACCTGGAATGGAGACAAGCATAATCAAAATTCTGAAGCCACATGTAAAACGTTCAATGCAAGTTCTCATTTCCAAGATTAGAGGTAATATACACTACAGATACAGCACATGCTGAACAGAACTCATAGATATAGGATTGCCTGTAATTATATAAGTCTGCACATTAGCTGCTCCTGTGAAATTGCAAAGGGTGATGCTTTCATAAGATATAGGCTTAAAGATGGGTATTATTTCTACATTATCCCTTTCTTCCTTCCAGGGAAATTATAGAAAAAGGCATTACTTTGAGTCTTAGGAAAAAGAGGAGGGAATTTATATGTCATCTGGAAGTGTAGCAAAATTATCCTAAATGTGCTATTCATGGCATTATCCTTGGCAGTTACACCCGTCACAGAATACCATGAAAGTGATGTCCAGGTACCCCCAGTGGCATAATGTCCTAATTCCTCACACATTTAGGAACAATTCTACTTCCCGCTGAAGCCACAAAATAAAACCTTGAGATATATGTAATCAAACATCCTCTCTCTATAAGCAAAGAGAATCTGTTAGTAGCTATATATTCATGAATTTATGCCATAGATGAATTAGCTTCTGCTAAGGCTCCAATCTGAGAATGAATTAAAGGTTTTGGGGTTGTTAACACTGAGTTATAAGCATTGTGGAAAGATTAAATTACGTTTGGGAGTCTGAAAGAAATCAGGTAGTGACTGATTGTCCAGAGATAGTTGACACTGCAGCAGAATGTCTTAGCATCAATTCCTAATAACTCAGGGGATATTATTAGTGCGCCCTTGGGAAATTTCCAGGCTAGACAGGAAGCCCATTTATTATTTGCACATAGAATATTATGGACAGATGAAACTATATACACTTCCAGTGGCATTTAAGCCATTTTATGCCTCTTGGTAAAGGTATGTGCTTTATCAGAAGATTTAGCTGAAGAGCATGCCAAAAAAACCGCAACAGTTGTAGTTTTCAAAACACTAGACTATGTTAGATCTGCCTTTTGCATGTTTAAATAAGTTTACAAATGTCAGGATAATGTTCTATCATAGGTGAACATCAGATGCCAAGAGTGTATCCAAGTCCTACTTAGCCACGAATTCTCATCATACAGCCATGTGAAATGCATCTCTGTCTCACAGAGAGAGAAATGTTAACCCTGGAATGGGTTTGACCCTTTTTGAGGTTGTTTCTGTCAGTGCTGAACATCGGGATTGGATATCCAGGTTATCTATGAAACCAAACTTTTTTTCTTTTCCCCTTTTTCTCAAACAAAGCTTTGGAGCCAGTTGCATAGGAAGTCCACAGCAGATGGGTGCTAAATCTAGGGAACTAGAAGAAAAAGGCCTAGTTAATTGTCCATCAAAGAGAATGTGCCTTGTGTCATGTTTGTTGCTAGGACCTTTGATACTCCATCTTTAAAGCCTCGCTGTTTCCACTGACCTGGATTGTGAATGCAGCCTGCATCCAATGACTTCAGAGCATGAGATTTCAAAATTTAATGAAACTGTCTTTCCATTTCAGACTGCAGTAGTAATCTGAGTTAAACCTAGATCATTGAATTCACCTCTTCCTGGAGAACTGTAAGAAGACATCTCCACGACTAGTCATACTGGTTTATTCATCCCATCCACATCCCTCATGTAAGTAGGATCCTGGACTGTGTTTCTGACTCTGCTAGTGCTCTGCCTCTCCATCCTCATCTTAATGGGAAAGCAGAAGTCCCTAAAACACCTCTTGAAGTTTTCATCAAGGAAGGCATAGAGGATGGGATTCAGGCTGCTGTTGGTATAGCCCAAGGCAATGCAGAAGTAATAGCTGGAGAGAGCGGCTGTGCTGTGGGAAGTGCTGCCCAGGGCTTCCACAAGGATGAAAATGTGAATCGGGGTCCAACAGATGATAAAGACTGCCACCACCACCAGAACCAGCCTGGTGATCCTGCGGAGGTTTCGATCTTTCTCTCGGGAGCCAGAAAGGAGCCGGACACTCTTCAGGCGCAGGATCATCAGGGTGTAGCAGACGATGATAATGAGGACCGGAATCACAAAGGCAAAGACGAAGACACAGATCTTCATGAAGAGGTCCCACCAGGAGTAATCGTCATCCGGGAACTGCAAGGAGCACTCGATGATATCTACATCTGGCGGAAGCAACCAAAACCACAAAGGGAAGTCTATTAGTGTTATTATCGTGACTGTAAAGTGTTGAGACAGTCTAAGCTGCCCAGGCTGGACTGCCGCTTGCCATTCTCTTGCCTCACCTTCCTGAGTAGCTGAGATTACAGGTGTCCACCATCGCACCTGGTTTACACCACCCTACCAGGGTGCATAAAACAATGACACTAGAAAGCTGCCACTTATTGATAACATACATTATTCTGTAGAAAAATAAAATTAAGCATTATGTTTTTATCTAGCCATGAAAGTTGATGGCTTTGAAAGAACTATTGTTAAGTTGTAGTGTGGACACTTATTTGTGCTTCTGTGTATTAACAGTTCTCCCAGCCCCAAGGCTCAGGTAATTAAAGGTAAAGTCTGTTTGTAATAAATGACTACATGTTTTAAGTCTAGCTATTAAATTTAACAAATAACAACTTGTTTGAAAAACATTAACAGTTTATATGAGTCAATTAAATCTGATAACAAAATTTGTCTAAATGTGACCAGGTGCTGTGATTTAACAGACACAATCGTACCCATTGTGATGAACAACAGTATTGAAACATGAGCAAAACTTTTGCAGAAGATCAGAAAGGGCTCCCATTCTACAAGCACTGGCCAGCCTCATTTGGTCCTCCTGCCTTTAATCAGCCAGTGAGCAGAGCTCAGGCAACCCTCTCTGTGGCTTGTCTTGCTTCACAGATGAAGTGGTCCCGGGCAATACTCTAAATGTAGTCTTTGTAAAGAAAATATTTTCTTTTGATGTAGGAACAATTTGCTTCAAAACAGTTCAAGAATATATTTCTTTTCAAGTAGTGAAGTAACTGTATTAACAATGCTTACTAAAACATGTTGTGATCTTAAATATCCTTTAGTAAAACAAAATGCATCTTAGTAGAACATCAACTAGACATACGTTAAAACACAAAGAATATAATCATCTTGGACACTTAGTAAAGAAGGATGTCCTAGGGACATTCTTTTTACCAAAGACCAAGTCAAACCTTTGAGTAGTAAATGAAAGCTTCTAGAATAATGTGTAATTTTGTTCTCTAAAATGTCATTGTCCAAAGTACTATTACTATGAAGACTACTAGAAACTAATAAACCTTCACTTCAATTTCTACTTTAATGTTTATGGGAAATTATTCCTTTTCTAAAATCACCACCATAATCAAAGAAAGGAATATATTTATTAAACAATTTTGATGCTTTATATAAAATCTGAGTTAATATATGTATCTCATTCTAAATTTATTTTGTCTATTAAGTCTGATGAACATGATTTTCTTGAAGGTGAGAAACATGTACATATTGGGATCTTTTTTCTGCTTAACTTTTGTATTTCTGCTTTGTCTCTTTCTTTTGGTTGTCTTTATCCTGAAGTCACCTTAGAGACATTTAGATAGGAGTCTCTCTTTTTAGTCCTTTTCCTTTCAATTTATGCTCTACAACATATTATACTTACCCTGGTTATTTTTTTATATAGAATCTCTTCCAATCTGTAGTCTTCTGTTGCCTTTCCTAACATTTTTCTACATCCAGAATGTAAACAACCTTAAAATGGGGACCCAGGCTACTTATTCAATGTTTAATCCCTGGCAATAGGTTGGTGCTTGGAACATATGGTATATAAAGAAAATAAATCGTTAAATAGATGAACAAACAGATACTATGTGGACATTAAGTTCCTGAGAATATGTACTACTTACAGGAGTTATTATGGAGAAATCACCTACTAAATTATTCAAAGACAGCACAATGGCCAATCTGTGATTTGCGTATATCTTTTAAGCCCAGAGATCAGCTTCCTCTGCTGTAATGTAGTAGGAGCTCAAAAAGTATTTGATAAAAAGGAGAAATAATCTATGACAGCTACTTTTATACTGTGGGAAATAAAAATCTAATGATGAAATTTAAAATATGTTCCAGAAAATGTCAATGAACCTGAATTTATACCATTAAGGAGATAATCATCAAAAAATCCCAGTCCAAAAATCACTATTTTTATTAAACATTTTATCTCTGGGAAAAAGTGAGCATTTTAGGGTTGAATTACCTTCTCAATTGTCACAGTTAAAAAAGTAGACTCTTCAAATAAATACCACATGATCTTTCTCATATGTGGGATCCAGAAAAGTTGATTTCATAGAAGTTGAGAGTAGAATAGTGGTAACAGAGGCTTGAGGAGGCACTGGGAGGGTGTGTGGGAAAAATTGGTCACTAAATACAAAGCTAAATAGATGGGAGGAATAAGTTTTGGTGTTCTGTTGCACAATAGGATGACTGTAATCAACAATAATTAACTACATATTGCAAAATAGCTAGAGAAGAGGATTTTGAATGTTCTTACCATTAAGAAATGCTAAATCTTTCATGGACATGTCAGTTATCCTGTTTGATTACTCTACAATGTATACATGCATTGAAACATCACACTGAATGCTAGAAATATATACAATTATGTAAGGATTAAAAAATTCCAAAATGCAGTCATTCTTTTCTTTCTATATTAATACCAAAGGATCATGGCTTCCACTAGCACATCCAACAATACATAGGCCCCTTGCTTACAGAGTTACATCTAATGGACAAACTCAAGATTTTCTTATGTGTGTTCTATATTGTTAAGAATAACTTGGGTTCTTCTTGTAGCTATTATAATAATTCATAGCTACTATAATAATTGTAGTAGGCAGACTATACTCCCCAAATAAATAAGACACACATACATCATATACAAAATATCAGATTAAACATTTTATGTTCCAAAAATGAAAATGCTGCTATATACAGGAGACTTCACTATTAAATGAATATTTGTTAAATGTTGAAAAACTTAGCAACAGGCATGACTTATGAAGATGACTCTGTCTTAGGACAATTCACATATTTATCTAGTGCTTGCAAGACCAAGAAATGCTTCTTTTACATCAATTCACTAGATTTGGGAAATATCCGAGGTGAAAGGCACTACTATTTTCCCTGTTTTGCAGATGAGAAGCCAAAGTTCTGTGTAATGTCTCCCACATGACAGTATCCAGTTTGTTTCTAGAATCTATGTTTTTAAAGTGTGTGAGTTCTGATTTGGTTGAGGCCTGATTCCTTTCAGTGAACATTCTTTATAAAAACAAGACCATGAACTAACTACTAGGAACTCCCAATGCCAGTTAGCCCTGTTCCAGTGTGGGCTGATTAACTAAGATGCTCTCCGTGGTAATTCAAGATTCCTAACATACAGTGTGGTACAACACTCCAAAATGAATACAGTAGACTATCAAGATGAATTTTCATCATATAAGTAAAATTTACTTCAGAAAATTAAGAAGAGGGGAGAACGCCCCTATAAGACTAAGTTTTTTCTTCTATGCTGCACAAATTAATCTTCTGCTTCCATTGGTAGTTCTTTCCCATTGCATCTGCCCGTATTCATCTATAACAAGTATCCTGGAAAAAACACATCTGTCTTTATTTCATCTTTCAAAAAGGCTAATTGAAATCCATTTCATTTAAGATGTCATTTTCTGACAAAGACTAGAAGGAGTAGAGTGGTTAAGTCAAGAAGCAGAACATGAAATATAAAAATCAGTTCTTTCTTTGACTCAGGAAAATCATCTATCTTATTATTTAGTCTATTCTCCTTACCCTCATACAATATAGATAACATCTGCTCCTGAGTTAGAATTGCAATACACCAATACCTAAGCCTTAGAGGAGTTTCTTATGATTTACTTCCATTTGTCATAGACATGAAGAAATAAAACCTTGTGTATAATGAATCACATTTGAAAATATTTATCTTATAGAGAAAATCAGGCATTTCTTTTTTCTTTTCTTTTATTTTCCCCAGGGAAGATCAAATTTGGGATCTTGCACTTACAAGGCAGGCAACAGCACCACTGAGCTAAATTCCTGACCCTAAAACCAGGCATTTTTTAAAAAGTTTGCCAACTATTAGCTGGGCGTGGTGGCGCACGCCTGTAATCCCAGCCCTTGGGAGGCTGAGGGAGGAGGATCACTGTGAATTCAAGATCAGCCTGGGCTACATTGTGAGCTCCAGGTCAGTCTCAACTACATAGTGAGACCCTGTCTCAAAAAAAACCCCCCATAATGAACAAAATTTGCCAACTATTATAGTTTATCACTTACTGTGTCTGTGCCAGATATTCTTTTTATAGCTTTGGAGGAAAAATTCTAAAAGTTGATTATATATTTGTGTAAATCTGTAGAATACACAACAGCAAGAATGAACTCTAAGGTAAGTTATGAAACTTGGGTGATAATGATGTGTCAGATGCCTCAGTATGTATCTGCTCATCAATTGTAACAAATGCTCCACTCTGGTGGGTGATATTGGTAATGGGGGAGGCTGAGTATGTATGGAGTCTGGGGTAAGCACTAACTCTACCTTCCATTCAATTTGCTGCAAATTTAAAACTGCTCTAAAGCTGGCTGAAGACAAAGAAAGATAAGCTATGCATGTATTATGCAAAATGTAGTGAGATTTTAGCAACTGTCCTTTGAGCTGACCTATAAAGTCTTTGCTATACATGTCCATTTATCTGTGCAAACAAGTATCGCAAACCTCTCTAGTAACCTGGAGCATTTAAACGCCTTTTAGAACATTAAATAGCATTTATAAAGCTCAGAGCGATTGCTCTGCTGCCCTCCCCCACCCCCACCAGAATTTCTATTAAGTGGAAAGCTATTTTTCATAACCTTGTCTTTTACTAGTAAAGCAAATTTCCACAAACGGTAGTTTCCATTTTGGTTGCAGGTCAGAGTCACCTGATGAGATCTTAAAAATCTTGAACCCAGGTCACAAATCAGGTCAATTAAATCAGCAGTGTAGTTCACCATGCATCCCATAGTGAGAAATACAGGGAAAATGTCAGTTATCCTGTTTTCACAGGGCAAGAATTAATATGTCCAAAATCTAATGATTCTGCTCACTGTAACATTATCCATTTGTGAACCAGCCAAATAAAGTTTCTACAACAGTTATCTGGGGATTTACTTTGAGGGAGATTATTAATTAGCTAATAATTTAAGTCCTTCTTAGGAAAAAAAAGGAAAATGGAAAGAAAAAAGATAAAAGGAAATAAAAAAATAAAAGGAAATAGAAGGTATGAACTGGAATTATCAAGTTGTATCTCCAAAATCCACGTCTTTGGTTACTTATTTGATCCTGTCCATATTCTGATAAGCAAGATATGAGACAGGCTGGTCATCTGTGTTCTGATAATGCTATTTTCCCTATTGTGTGTTTAGAGGTGGAAAGGAAAACAAAATTGTTTTATTTTGGGCCAGGGATTTAGCTCAGTGGTTCTGGCGACTGCCTCACAAGCGCAAGGACCTGAGTTCAATCCCTGGTACCAAAAAAAAAAAAAAAAATTGTTTTATTTCTCATCTTCCATAGATTTAGGCATTATTTTTCCATTGGTTTTTTGTTTTGTTTTGTTTTGTTTTGTTGTTGTTTTGTTTGTTTTTTTCCACTTAAATGATATGTTCTACTCCTCCTAAGTTAAAAGTTTATATAACTAAAAGTCATGTTTTTATAGATAGGACAAAAATATTGCTCTTACCTTCCCTGACTTTGGTGCCTCCGAGGACTATGGCAGAAATGCCAACGGATGATGACAGAAGCCAAATACAGATATTGATAATCTTTGCCTTCAAGGGTGTACGGAAGTCCAAAGCCTTCACGGGGTGGCACACAGCAATATAGCGGTCCACACTCATCATGGTCAAGGTGAAGATGCTGGTAAACATGTTGTAGTAATCAATGGAAATGACTATCTTGCACAGCACATCCCCAAAAGGCCAGGAATTCATCAGATACACGGTGCTCTGGAAGGGCATGGTTGTAGTAACTAAAGCATCTGCCAAAGCCAGATTGAATATATAGATGTTGGTTGCCGTCTTCATTTTTGTGTATCTAAAAGACAAGGAACAGTAACATTTCTTTCTGTTTTTCAATTCAAATCCATGAGGGAACTGTTTGTGACAGCCTTCTGATTATTAGTTTTGTTTTTATTTCTCCTATTTTTATACATAAAGTAAATGTAAATATGTAAAAGAACTATTCTAGACATTTGGGGGGGAATGGACAAAGAGCTCTGATTTTATTAAATTTTTACTTTAGTGTTTTGTTTGAGAAATAAAAATGAAAATAGCATAGATTAAATGGAAAGATGAATATGCACATTTTTTTCAACAGATTGTATGTAGTAGAGAACTTCATTTTCTTGCTGACAATTCATTTTAGTCCTACCCAGAGTTACTTCATTTAGGCATTTTAAAAAATATTTTTCTTTTACATATCATAAATAAAAAATAAAACATTTTCTCTTGGAGGTTATTTTGAAAAATATCCTTGTAATTATACTATCTTTTGAGAATGCAAAATGTTTTCAATTTTTAAATATAACTATGAAATGGCTAAAACACAATAGCTTTGTTGATTTTTGTTTGACAGCATGCCACTAATTTTCATTTCACTTATATTATATGAATTAAATAACCTGAGTTCTTAATTTATACAGGTTATCACAGTAACACAGTAGATGAGAAATAATTCTCTTACTCTTGTCCAATCTTCAGAGAATTTTAAAAACATAATTTAGCTAATTTTCACAATACGTCAGAAAGACTGCCTTTAGTTCCAAATTGTTATTTATGTTATAACAGAAGATTTAGAGAGATTCCATTTTCACCTAAAGCTGAATTAAAGTATTATTTTTCTTAGAGAATGCTTCCTAAGAAATCCATAGAGGATGAACCATTCCATAACATCATATCAGGTTTTCAGAGGCCAAGAGAGGAAATCCATGTTGATCACTTCCTAGCTTAGCACAATTAACTCATCCATGCCTCATTCGATATGTACATTATCACATGAGAAATATCTTTAACACTCAGTGATAGAACAGTCCTGATTCCCCTGGAGTCATTGCAGTCTAATGTGAAGTCAGACAGCCCTGAGTGTGAACTTCTTGAGCTTTAGTTTCTGCTACATGAAGACAAAAACAAAACAAAACAGAAAACTAACTGGCTGGCTCTCTATGAAGCAGAAGCAGTAGCAGCCCATCTGACACACAAGAGCATACTTCACGCAAAGGACCCCTGCTCTCTCTCTCCATGGAGTCTTCCCTCCCCTTCTTTTCTAGTTAGAGATGCATTTATAGTGAGACGGAAAAGCAGTGTAAAGACTGGGACTAGAGACACCTTCTTGGTTTCCGTTTTAGTGCTCAGTTATTTAGCCTGAGTAATGAGAAGTTTATTTTAAAATATATTTTTGGTTCACTCTTTTTATTCAAGTAGTGTTAAATGACCCATACATTTTACAAAGAGATTAAAATTGTATGGCCAAAGATTTATAACAAAGACTTTCTAAAAACATAGATAACTAAGGAAGTACAATTAATAAGAAAAAGTCAGGTGTTTCCATTGAAACAGTCTGAAATGTGATCTATTGAGATCTTCTAAAAGTGGGATATTATGTCTGAAAAATTACATCTTACAAAGATATCTTCTATTCTTCCAACTCTCTTCCCCAGAATCCCTGACACTGGCAAAGGTTTCAGCAGGGACATCTCTGGCACCTACTCTTGAATTTTCTGACTCTGATATCCCCCTTGTTTTATTACGCACTTAGAGTGGAATTCTTTGCTTTATGAAGTTAAGTAAACCTGGGTTCTAGAGCCTGTGTTTCTAAGAAACAGATTTTAGAGGAGTCTCTAACAACTCTGAGCTTCAGTTTCCACAACTATAACATAAAAAATATAATGTTTATTTCATAGAGTTACAGAGATAACTAATAAAATGTATCTCTTTCAGAGAATGTCTAATTTATTTCTAATTTATTTCATGTTCCCCAGCTGTTCTTCATCTTAATGTGGATAGAAGCCACCAGTCAGTTGGTACATGAGTGCACGTGTGTGTACACACACACACACACACACACACACACACACATACCACATGGATGATGCAGTTTCTAACTAATGCTTAAGGTCATATTTACTTAATTCAGTTTGAGTATAAAATATCAGAGTAAAAATGGAGCCTGGAACCTAACATTAGAGGAACATGGATAGGATGATGCATAAATTACCATAAAATATATTTAAGTTATGATAAAATGTTAAATGATAACATACTTTAGTTTTTTAAAATATTTATAAACAATACATGCATAAAACTTCAAGACTTGAATTTGCAAAGAATTCAAATCCTGTCATCAGATATCAGAATCAGAGATTTGATCATGGACAATGATTATAACAACCACTTATTTCACACAGCACCCTGGGTCAGGTATTCTGCATTCAATAGACTTTACCTCATTAGTCCTCACACTGACTGCATATGGTAATGTCAGTATCCTTACTTTATAGTGGAGGTGACAAAAAAATGATGGGGTTTTCTTTAAAATTCTCAAAGTGATACAAAGACCATAGCCTGGGAGTTCGATCCCAATTCCTGTATTGTTGCACTTATCTCTCCAGCACTTTATAACTTATAAAGCCCAATTTTTTATTTCCATGCATCATATTTGATTCTCACAACAACTGCCTTGCTAGCTGACTCTTGAGATGTATGATTTTCCTTTTATAAAGCTAAAGAAAGCAGTCTCAGCTAAATTGGGTGATTTGTGTGCATTGGCATAGGGGAACCTCAGAAGGTCTGGAAGAGATGTCCAGTTAGGACACCCTTTCAGGATTCTGAAAATACATGCTTTCAAACCTACAACCCTGGAAGAGGAGAACTCATAAGTGTAATTAAAAGTAAGAACTAAACTGAGTTTACTGAATACATTTTTATGGTATTTTATGAATAGAACTGGACTAGACCTATGACTGTGTAAATCTAAAACAGGACCCCTACCTTAAGAGATGATCTGGTTTATATTTAACCCCAGCAAAATGTCATGCAATGCATTCATCTAATTTATGTCCACTGGTAAAAAAGCAAGTAAGCTTTCTTACTATGATGAGATAAGATTGTTTTAGATTATATCCATACTGCTTTACAAAAATCTGTAAGCATTTCAAGTGCCACCATCTGGGCAAGAAGTTTTGGCTTGTGTGGCAAAGCTGGAGGTGGGCTGGCAGTGAGTGGCTGCACTTTTTAGCATGCACACCACAGGAGCATATGGCACTAAAAGAGCAAAGTCTGGGGGCTGTCCTTGATAACTTGGCAATGTGACAAACCTGGAATCCACACAGCAGAACACTGGATGAGATATGAAGAGCAAGCTAGGCAGAAGAACAACTAGGGAACTTGGGATGAGAACCCCAGGAAACGGGTGCTTTAGAGAGTTAGATATGCTCCCAAGACACCTTAATTCAAGCCCACTCTTTAGAGTATGGAGACCTTCTAAGCTGGAATCCATAGGCGTTTTGTGATGTCGAGAATAACACAGTATCTACTGAGATAAAAAAAAAACAAGCATCAGCAGGCAGAAATTCTGGGAGAATACAACACTTGCCGATTGAGAAATGAGGTGCCTGTGAGATTCAGTAGTCTTGGGGATTCTTGTCCTTTGCATCTGCCTGCCATGATCAGAAAACACTCAGGTGGCAGAGACAATTACTGAATATTGTCATCCTTTGCAATGGAGCGTATTACCCAAGTTTGATTCTTATTTAAGAGATGCTTCTTTAATCAACCTTCATTGCCATGGTATAGAATAAATACTTAATTGTGATGGCTGATCACCAACAGTCTTTCGGTTTTATTGATTTCTTTTATTTTTAGCTTTCACCTCCAGTTATTCTCTGTGTTGACTTTCTGTCTCCAATAATGTTCATGTTCCCTCCCTTTACCTTATCCCTCCATTTTTTAACTTTTTTTTAATTGTCTTCCCTGTAGACAGCATTTTATTGGACTTTGAGGAGGCTGAAAATAAATTCAATACCAGACCAAGGCCACTACTAAGTTAAAATTATGATGTGAACTAAAGGAACATACAGAAAGGAAACATTCTGAGTAGTGAGAAGTCAAGACATATTTCAAATAAGAGAGAACTTGGTAGGTCCTTGACTTTTGAAAAAGATTGGGACAGATAGAGACCTGGTAGTTAATGTTACATGCAGCGATACACAAGACCCATCCTGGGTCAGGAATCCTGCTCTGGGGAATAATAGGAGACTGGCTGGATGTATACTGTTGGGCCACAGAGGACCATGAACTCTAGAAAGAGAAAAGCATTTTAAGCATTTATTGGTGACTTATCATATGAAAGGCAGTGTTTTGGAGATTCACATTATCTGATAAAGTTGTTATTATGATTAAGTGGCACATGTATGAAATTGCTCAGCATGGGGTCTGGTTCTTGATAATTGCCCAGTTCAACTTCCATTATCATCATCATTGTTACTGCTGCTGTCATTAGTGTTATTGTTAATTATCTGTCAAAGAGTAATATGCCACAGTACAATCCCATAAGAGATTATTGCTCTTCAGAATCCATATGTAACAACTAAAAGAACTCAGGGCACCTTTGTTGCAAAAACTCTGAAAGAATTAGGTATTTTATCACAGAAACAATGTGATTTTGTAAATTCTACCATTTCTTGCAATTAAAGATTGAAAACCATTCTAGTATTTTGGCCACCTCCACATCTTGAGGGTAGAAAACATTTAATACAAGGAAACAAGACATGGTCTAAAGGGGAATAGACATGAATGTATTGTCTCTTAATGCTGTCATAGGTGTCATGATATCTGAGTTTTTCAAATATTTATAGCTATCCTTTAGTATCTTCAATTATTGGTTCTAAGTCCCCCACAGACATCAAAATCTATGAATGTTCAAAGCCTTTATATAAAATGGTATAGTATTTTCACATAAATATGCATTCTATATACTTTAAATAATCTCTAGATTACTTATAAAACCTAATACAATGTGTTGTATAAAAAATAGTGGCT